AACTTCTCATTATCTTTTTCCAGATTTTCAAAATCATTTTCAAGAGTGGAGAGGCGTTTCTTTAACGATTTGTTGATTTTAGAAGCGCTAACAAATTTATCATAAAGTTCATGAAGTGCTTCTTGCATTTCTTCAAAGGTGTAAGAGTCGGAAGAAATGGTACATACCTCTTGTACATCGTCGGTTTGGTCTTCGTGCGCGATGAGACAGAGGTTGGAAGTTTCATCCTCGTCTTGATCGGTTGACTCGTCTCCAGAGTCGCCACCCCAAGAGATATATGCCCTTTGCCTTTTGAAGTGCCGAGCATTCCTTCCGCTTTTCGGGCATTTGTTCTTGATGTGCCCGGCTTCACCATATCCATAGCACACAGGGCCATCCTCAACCTTCTCTTTCTTTAGAAGTTTGCAAAACTTCTTCATGATTAGCTTGACTTCATCTTCGTCGCTTGAGTTATTCATTGTCGGTTCTTTGGAGGCTTTTAATGCTATGCCTTTTCTCTGGTCATTCAAAGATGGGTTAAGTATAGTAGATTCATAAGTTTTTAAATTACCTCTTAAACCGTCGATGGTGATAGTTGATGTGCCGATTGACTCATACATGGCATCGGCCTTGGATCGCCATTCGGATGTCAAGTTCCGTAGGATCTTTCGCACAAGATCCCTGTCGGTGTAAGTCTTCTTTAATGCATGAAGAACGTTGACTATCTTGGAAAAACGGTCGAACATATCATCGATATTCTCGTGCTCCTTCATCCTGAACATCTCATATTCTTGGGGGAGGAAGTCAATCTTGGCTTCACGTACTTGGTCCGTTCCTTCGTACGTCACCTCAAGTTTATCCCACATCTCTTTGGCGGTTGAGCAACAAGAGATCTTGCGGTAGTCATCAGGATTTACGGCACAATAAAGCATGTTTATTGCTTTTGCATAATTCTCGACCTTTTTGATGTCCTCGGCATCAAACTCGTCTTCGGTCTTGGGGATCAACTTGTCTCTGACTTTCTTCATTGGTACCTCTTCCCCGTTTTTGATAACCAACCATAATTGGAAGTTCGTGGAACGAATATAGATTCTCATTCATTCTTTCCAATATGTATAATTGGTTCCATCAAAAAGAGGTGGCCGTGTGGTTGATTGCCCTTCACCTATTCCTGCATACAAATTTCTAGAAGAAGAACCCATGATCGCTTTACTCTCAAACGGTTAAGTTTGGACGCGAGTTAGTCTCTGATACCAATTGTTAGAATAAGTGACCAACGCTAGAGGGGGGGTGAATAGCGTTTGATCGTAGAAATCGCAGGAATAAAAAATTAAGAACGTGAAAAGTAAAGAGCGTAGAAAGCGTAAAGGGAGCACACCAAGATTTATACTTGTTCACCACAACGTGTGGCTAATCCAGTCTCCTGAGAGACTCTCTCGAGCTACACTACTTCCGTTAAGCTTACAGGTGCTTAACAAACCGTTACAACCTGAGAACTCGAGTCCCACGAGCCTCAACAACCTTGCTCGGAGATACCGCACTCCAAGACTTCAACCCGAAGGAAAATACCTTTCCTTCGTACAACCAAGGGAAACAAGCTTCCCTTAACGTGTATACAACACTA